AGAAACCAGATGTTTGGTTTCGTTACATTGATGATATCTTCATGATCTTGACCCATGGTGAAGGTAGTTTGGATACTTTCCTATTGAACATTAATTTGGCTCATCCCACAATCAAATTCACTGCTAATAAATCCACAATCAGTGTGGATTTGTTGGACATCACCGTGACCATGAAAAATTGTGCACTTAAAACTGATCTCTTCTTTAAACCCACGGATAAACATATGTTCCTGCTCCATAGCAGCTGTCTTCCCCCGCATTGTACAAAAAACATTTCGTACAGCCAAGCATTGCGCATGAGGCGCATTTGCTCTTCGGATTTAGATTTTCAGAATCGCATAGAGCTATCCCGATATCTCCTGAATAGAGATTATTATCGTGGACCCATCGAAAATGATATAAAAAAGCAAAGGACCTCGTGCTCAAACACTGACGTACAAACCACGTTAGCGATCGACCATAGTACCACTGGTCACTACTTATCACTAAGTGCTATAATTCAGAAACATATGCCCATTCTTCAGACCACAGAACGTCTAAGGTTTGTTTTTTTTTTCGATACACCGTTCATAACCTATCGCAGACCACCTAACCTTCGTGATATATTATTACGATCAAAATTCAGGAGGCAAAATAACTCTTGCGACCGCCATAATTTGGGTAGTCATCTTTGTGGTTCATCATGCAAAACATGCTCCCTGCTTGATTCTACACAATCATTCAAGAGCAACCAGACAAACCACATATTCCGGTTAAGGTAATCAGTTAATTGCCTCACCAAAAATGTCCTTTATCTCATATAATGTACTATTTGTGGTAAACAATATGTTGGAAAAACAAAAAACACTCTCAGTATGAGAATGACACAACATAGATCAGCTATCAGAACATCTAAGCTTGATCAACCAGTAGCCGAACATTTCAATTTAGCTGGTCATTCAATTTCAAATTTGAGAGCGATTTCTATTGACCATAATGACAATTGGAGCGACAAAACTTGCAAAAATAAAGAGAATCACTCGGAATTTTTACTTAAAAACCACCACACCATTTGGGCTTAATATTAGGAACGTTCTCCCAGTACACTAAATTGAACCAATGGCATTCCGAATTATTCTGGATAAAACATTTGGCTTATTAATGAGGCGTGCCACTTAAGTTTAGTTTTGGCCTTCCTGTTTATTTGTTCACTGTTTATTCTAATCTCACCCAGCCAATTGTTTCCAATCATGCCTGCATGAAATTCTCACTTTATATTACTTGGCTTCTTCTACCCTCACACACTCGCCACTGAGGAAGGACTAGTTTGTCTGAAAGCTCTGGTTCTATTTCTGGCTGTTTACTAACGTTTACTTTTTAGCTGTTGCTTATCATTTTTGTATCTCTACCGAGATCCAGCCATTGTTTCCCACAGCATTGTTGTTTTTCAGTATTTTGTCTTTTAATATTTCAAGGCAATGTAGCGGTAATGCTACAAATACTTATTTAAAACAGTTTTCATAACAGAATTCATAACATTTGACAAACTGCGGTCCATGTCTTTTGATAAATTCTGAAGGTTATTTAAGGACTTAACTTTCACACGCTGATGCTACTTCAGACCATTCACCACTCTCTTTACATACAATTTCTTCAGAACCATGCAATTGGTACCCATCATTGCAGCTAAATTTTAAAACACTACCAACACTCCGAAGACCACCGTGTATCACCACATTCATTGGTTCAACGACATGCTCACAAATTACTATATTAATACAATATAAAATCTTTGATATTAAAAAAAATCTTCTTTATATAATAAATTCGATTAATAATGGCATATCGTAAGAAAAATGGAAAAGCTGTAATTATAGACACAACCATTGCAGACACAACCATTACAGTACACTAGTAGTATAGTAAAATTAGTATCATTCTTTTTGGTAACATGTATAGAAGCTTAAATCTAAATGCCTAAAAAAAACTATTTTGGAAAGCATAGATTAATCTTTGTAAACACTATTTCCTGAAAAAAATTTGAATAGTTTTATGATGATATAGGTAAATTAGTGAAACTACTAAATAATAATTGTTTCACTTGAGTTTTAATTCTGCTAGTAGCTTTAATTAATCATTCGCATACAACTACTTCATCATTTTCATATTGGAACTGGAGGTGTTTTCTATATTGATTTTATTATAAAGGCCTACACATAAAATGTATATGATATGTTAATGCCAAGTTCACTTCCTAATATTATTTACGTCTGTCGCCCTCTCTAGTTTAGCCGTGTAAGAAAGTTTTGCACAATATGGCTGTTTAACGTCAGGCTATACTTTGATGTTTTAAATAACAAGTATAATTGTGCTTCAGAAGGTGTTTCTCGGTATGCTTAGAGATATAGTAAGGATGATTCATGTGTCATTTCATTAAGCAGTATATTAAGGCTGTATTTCGGATAGTTTTAAACCTATTATTGCTGTGTTTATAGGAGCATTTATGTGAGTGCTCGGCCTTCACGCTTGAGTGAGAAGGTGTTTTCTATCTGCTTAGGCTAGCCTAT